CATGTTGCATCACTTCATTAAATATAATGGAGCTCATTGTCTTTGTAGTTGTGTTTGTATCTTATAATCTGTTCCACTGATCTTCAGGTCTTTCTTTCCAAGTACCATGCACATTTTATGACTGAAGCTTTGTAGTATAATTTAAGTCAGGAATTGAGATAATTCCTGCATTGCCTTTATTGCCCAGGTTCACCTTTACTGTTCTAGGTTTCTTCTGTTTACAAAAGAATGTTTTTTGAATGTTTTCTTTTAGATATGTAAGGTACGATTGGAATTGCATTTAACCTGTAGAACACTTTTCAGAGTATGGCCCTTTTCACAATGTTGGTTCTTAATAACCAAGAGCAAAGAATATCCTTCAATTTTCTAATATCCTCTTCAATTTCCTTCTTTAGAGTAGTATAATTTTCAGCATATAGGACTTTTACATTCGTGGTAAGGTTCATTCCTATTTCTTTTTTTTTTAGATGCTGTAGGGAAAGTCAGTATTTCCATAATTTCTCTTTCAGTGGTTTTTGTTTCTTTACAGAAATGTTATTGATGTTTGAGTGTTGACTTCATATCTAGCTATGCTACTGAACTTGTTTCTTACCTCTAGTAGTCTTTCAGTGGAGTTTTGTGGGTCTTCTATGTAGAGCACCATGTCATCTGCAAATGATGATAATTTAACTTTATCCTTTCCTATGTTTATTCCTTTTATTTTTCTCTCTTGTCTAACTGCTCTAATATTACCAGAACTATATTGAATAGGAATGGTGTTAGTGGACATCTTTGTTTTGTTTCTGATTTTGGAGTGAAAGTTTTCAGTTTTTTTTCCAGGTAGTATAATGTTGGCTGTTGGTTTTTCATAGATGGCCTTTATCAGATTGAGGTACAGTCATCTATTCCGAGTTTTGAAACAAGTGTTAAACTTTATCAAAAGCTTTTTGTGTGTCTACCAACATGATCATGTGGTTTTGTTTTTGGCTCTGTTGATGTGGAGTATTACATTTACAGATTTTTAATATGTTAAATCATCCCTGCATTCCTGAAATAAAACCCACTTGGGCATCATGTATAATCTTCCTGATGGCTTGCTTCATTCTATTTGAAAGAGTTATAATGAACATCTTGGCATCAATGTTCATTATGAGATTTGCTTATAGTTCTCCTTTATGGTTGGGTCTTTTTTTGATTTTGTTATCAGAGAAATATTTGTCTCCTTAAATGATTTATGGAGCATTGCTTCTCTTTAAATTTTATTGAATAATTTATGGGCATTGGCATTAAAGCTTCTCTGAAAGTCTTGTAGAATTCAGCTGTGAATCCAACAAGACTTGAGCTTTTCTTTGTTGACAAGATTTTAATGACATTTTCAATTTCTATAGCTAATAATGGGTTATGGAAAATTGTTATATATTCTTGATTGAGCTTTGGTAGTTTATATGTTTCTAGAAATCTGTCTATTTCCTCTGTCTTTTCCATCCTATGAGAGTAGAGATGTTCAAAGTAGGTCTTCATGATATTTTGAATTTCCATGGGATCTGTAGTAATTTCTTTTTTGAGTTCTTATTGCATGAGTTTGAGTTTTTTCTTTCTTTTCCCTGATAAGATTGGCTAAAGGTTTATCAATTTTGTCTATTTTCTTAAAAAAATAGCTTTTGACTCATTAATCCTTAGTAGTGTTTGTTTAGTCTCAGTTGCCTTAATTTCTGCTCTAATCTTTACAATTTACTCTCATCTATGAGCTTTGGGTTGATTTGCTCTTTCATTACTAGAAGCTTGAGATGGAGCATTAGATTGTTTATTTGTGCTCATTCAGTTTTCTTCCTGTGTCAACTTGTTCAAATATGTTTCCTTTTTAGGACTGATTTCATTGGGTACCACTGGTTTCAATATGTTTTATCTTCACTTTCATTGAAATATAGATATTGTTTAATTTCTTCTTTAATTTCATCTGTAACACATTGATTGTTCAGAAGGCTGTTATTTAATTTCCATGTATTTATCCAGGTTTTGCCATTTATTTTGCCATTAATTTTCAATTTTAGTGCACTACGGTCAGATAATATGCATAGGATAATTTCAATCACTTTCCATTTACTTAAGAATATTTTATGGGCTAATCTATGGTCTATGTAGGAGAAAGTTTCATGCTCAGCTGAAAAGAATTTGTAATATGGTGTGCCTGGTTGCAACATACTTTAAACATCTACAAGTTCATTTGCCCACAGACGTGATTCAATTCTATAATTTTTTGCTGACTTTTTGTCTAGTTGATCTATCTCTTTGTGATAATGTGGTATTAAGGTCACCTACTACAAATGTGTTCTTGTGTATTTGTATTTTCATGTCTATTCATATTTAACTTATATAGTTGGGTGCTCCTGTATTTGGTGAATATATATTTTTAATTATTAGTTCTTCCTCTTAAATTTTTCCATAACATGTATGTGGTGACCTTCTTTATCTCTTTTTATCATTTTAGGTTTGAAGTCCACATTGTTTTATCTGGGTTCTTATTGCATGGAATAGTGTTTTCAATCATTTGACTTTTAATCTATGATTTTCCTTTTTAGTCAAATGTGTTGCTTATATACAGAATATTGTTATGTCCTGTTTCTTGATTCACTCTGTCAATTTGTTTCTTTTAATAATTGACTTGAGGCCTTTTACTTTGATGAATATCGCTCATATATACTGGCTCAACTTTGTCATGTGGTGTTCTTGCTGTTGTTTCTCTGCTTTTCCCCTTGTTGAATTGTTGCCCTGTTTGATGTTTTCCTTCGGTTGTTTTTATGGAAATTATGTTTTTTTTTTTATCTAGAATATCTCACAGTACACTTTCTAGGGTTGGTTTGGTGGACATGAATTTTTTTCATTTATTGTTTCTAAAAGAAGTATCAAGTTTCTCCATTACATTTGAAAGAAAGTTTAGCAAGAAACATCAATCTGGGTTGAAAGTTGTTTTGTGTCAGGGCTTGAAATTCTTCATTACAATCTCATTTTGAGTGTTTGCACTGAAAGTTCTGCTGTGATTTTAATGAGCATTCCTTGATAGGTGCATTGTCTCTTTTCTCTGACAGCTTTTAGTATTCTGTTTTTATGTTGTATGTCTGGGATCTTAATTATTATTTGTCTCAGTGTAGATATATGTTGACTGAGGATGTTTGATGTCCTATATGCCTCACTTACATGTACATCCGATTCTATCCTTATGTGTGGGAAATTTCCTGCTATTGCTTTTGTGAATAGTTAACTGATGTCATTTGTGTTAACTCCTGACTCTTCACTGATGCCTATTTGTATTATATTGTTTCTCTTGGCATCATCTTGAATCTGTTGAATTGTCATTTCATACTGCCTTGTTATTTTTAAAAGTTCTACCCTTTCATGATTGCTATTTACAATCCTATCCTCAAGATCTGAAATTCTATCCTTGGCTTCATTTAAATGATATTGCCAGGGTTCAATAGAATTTTTTGTCGTTGGATGTATCTTTGAATTTGTTTCATGCATTCTACTTCTTTTCTGTATCATTCATTCAAGATTTCCATCATCTCATGCTCCTTTACTTTTTTATCCATGTCTTCTCTACCTATGCTGAGGAATTCTTTCATTAAGGTTGTCATTTCTGTCTTTACATGATAAATTATTTCTAATTTGATTTCCCCTATAAACTTGTTGATTTGTTTCTTTATTTCTGTTGCTATCTTTTCAAAAATTTCAGTTTTATGACTTCTAAAGTCTTCTATTTCAGTGTCTCCTGTATTTGCTTCTGATGGAGTGATGTTTGAGATTTCATTTTGCTTTTTTGTTTTGTCATTTTCATCTTTTGGGCTAATATTTATTCTTTCAATCCCACTAGTCTTAACTGTCTGTAGTGTATATCTTAGAATCTTACTGTGTGGTTGACATTTATCCAATTGCTGGGTACCACAATGAATAGGAGGGGCAGTCAGCTGAACACCTCATTCAGAGCCTGTTGGGTGAGCCCTACAGTGTTCCTAGGCTGACTAGCTTAAGTATTTATGTATGTCAACACTTGGTTCCCACTGTTACTATGTCTTCTGGTTGTTCTAGGCCACTAGATCCCTCTGTCTACAGCATTTTCCTCAGCAAGGATTCTATAGTGTCACTCGGTGTCTCATAAGCCCTTTTAATTTTCTCCAGGTTGTTGGAGGGATTATTGGCACAATCCTCAACCCCCTTGTTGTTCTCTGTATGGAGAAAGGACTCACCCACACTCTTGCCAAACTTGGAAAACTCCTATAGGTGGAGGGGACTTGAACACTGCTCCTGTATACCAACTGAAGATGCCTATTTTAAGGAAAATTCACCATAGTGATGAAAGCCTGATGAGATCCTCTGTGTGGCTGAGGGGTTACTGAGTCTCCCATCAATCCAGCCAGGTTAATCCATTGCACTCCAAGGATCTTGGAGGGGATAAGTGGCCAAAGACCAATTGCAATATCAGCGACAGGAGGTAGTGGGATACCCTAGGGCAGGAGAGCAAGAGCAGAATGGCCTTCTTTCCAAGGTGGAAGTCTGGGGTCCAAGGCTGGGGAGGGAAAGAATGGAAGAGACTTGCCCTCTGAGGTGAAAGTCTGGGGCCTGAGGGTTGGGAGGGCAGGCATGGAAGCAGTCTGCCCTCCTAGGTGTAGGTTCAGGGTCTGAAGTTCAAGAGGGTGGGCACAGATGCAGCCTGTTATCTGTGGTTGATTTCCAGGGTCCAAGGTTGGGAGGTCTGACAGATAATTTTGACCGGAAGCAGTGTCAATCAATATAAATTTCTCAATTTTAGTGATGTATTTGGTGGATATTTCAATTTAATGAAGGAAAGAAAATATTACACACTGTCTTCCAAAGTTTTGATAATGCAAAATATTCAGTTTTTATTTTTTGAGGAGATACTTCATAATATTACACCCATAAATAAATGAAATTATGTAAAATTAAAGAATCTGTCCAAGGCACGGGTCATTAACATCCATCTCAAAACAGCAAAAAGGGCTATGGGCTTAGCTGTGCCTATCATGGGTTACTTGGGCTTTTAAGACCTTCAGGAAACTGTCCACATTATATATATCCCTAAGGAGGCAGTGGCACAGGTGATGAAAAGTATCAATAAAATATTTTCCCTCAGCTGACTGTAGGGATGGGAGTCCAGTCCAGACAGCATAGTCCATATAATCTGTGACTTGAAGGCCAACCTAAAAACCAAAGAGATAAGCATTGTATTACTCATATTAATATTAATTTTCATATTTTTTCTAATCAATTAGTCAATTAAGATTAGAGAAAAAGATGGAAATGTAAATTTTTTCCAATGTTCTGTTTTGATGTATCTCACACAAGGGATTATGAATCTATTAATCAGAAAATAGATAACATTGAGAAGCAGAGCCCACCTGTTATTTTCCTTCCTTGAATGTGATCAATCAATGGTGATGTGTACTTTTGTAGGAGTAGAGAAATGGAAATCCAGAAAGTTGCTAGTGCAAGATAGATATGGATGTCATCAGGGAGAGTGGAGCATCTAACTTGTAGTATGTCACTTAAAGGAAATTTACATCCTCTTGTCCTGGGTGAACCCTTTGCATTTTTGATAATTCATTATTCACATTGCATTGTTTTGAATTGAATCTATTCTTCATAGGGTTCCTATAAAATAAAAACCCTCATATGTGGTGAGAAAGGCACTAGGTCTTGCACAGGACTGACTGTGATAGTCAGGAATCTCTCACTCCACCCAGGATTCCTCCCTGTTCTCCATGAGGAGCATCTGCTTCATTTCAGTTCTGTGGGATTGGAGCTGCTGGACGTACCACCTATAAATTGGGTACTGGGAACAAGTGCTGTGTTGCGACCCATGCCACGGTTAGCGTGGGACGGTGCCTCACACTGTCCTGCACAATACAAGAGAAGACAGTGGGCCTCTGTGAGCTCAAAAGTCCCATGATAGCTTGAGGTACCAGGGATTTCATATTCCAGGAACCATTCTGACACTGTGAAGATGTCAGCTAATTCCAGAAGTGAAAGACACAAACTGGGATGAGTTTACACTTTGATCTGCTAGAATTTTATTCAAATTTAAAGTGCATTGGGAGATATTAATCTCTGCATGTTTGTTTTAAGTTACTTTTAGTGTTTAATCCTTAAAACATGTTTCTTTAAAACATATATGAATATATGTTGTTTTAAAATATGTATAAACATATAATGTGGTATGAAGAGGAACAAGTGAAAAAATTGTAAGAAAATTAGAAAAGGAATTGAAACACACAACAAATTAATGAGCTCTAGGATTTGGTACTTAGCAATGAAGAAAATTTTGAAAATTAAGAGTTAATTTATACTTTGCAGTGCAATGTGTTATGAGTTTGAGATAAATGTCTTAAATGACAATCAATCACAAAAAATACAATTTAACAATATCTAGTACCTGAAAAGTGCAATCTATCATTTCTTGTGTTATTATTTATGTAATGCTAAATCTTTATTTTGATGATGCATTATTTTTGAGAAATTCAGAAAGCAGTTTATTGCAGTTTTGTTTAAATAACACTACTACACTGGAGAAGCACAATAAAAGAGTGATTCAGTGAAGGTATAATAAATTGTCTGAGGAAATTTAATAAAATGGAGCAAGTTTTAAATTGCAAATACCAAACAATGAGGTATAATGTTCTACATGTTATAGAATAAGAAGCATTCCTCAAGAGGTCACTTTGTGTTTTATAGTGTTATATAATCTAGTGATTCTAAGCATAGGTGCTATGGAAATTTCAGTCTTCTCTGGGTATCATAGACGGATGGAGCATGAGATCATGTAATGACTTTTCTTTCTCTTTCTTGATCCTAAACAACTGATAAGGCTAAAAAGTTGTAATCTGTCCAAAACTTAAGCATGGGAGTCCTAAACTACATGAGAGATACACTTCTTGCAGGCATTATTGTGTGAATTTCTTCTCAGGGAAGATATGTAACTACCACCCATGGAGGGATAGTCCAGGGGTCTTCTGTTCTACGCAGGGGAGGCAGCTCTCTGAACAGTAAAGGTCCTGAGATCCCATGTCATTGAAATCTGCACTGATGCCTATGCCTCTGGCTCTGTGGAGTAGGAGACTGGAAGATGCAATATTCAGGTTAAATGTTATTCCTGCAAAGCAAGGGATGTCACTCTACTTCCCAATGCAGAGGGGACCCTGAAAACTGAAAACCAAGAAACCATCAGGAGCTACCCACCTGCTTGGCCATGATCTCCAGGCCTTCTAGAAGATAGTACATTTTCTCCTGGATCAACTCAGCTTTCATCATGAAATTCTGGGGAATTTTTGGGAGGCGAGCTGATTGGGTTTTGAGATGGCTCAAGGGATCATCCCAGGAGTGAATCAAGTAGATTACCAGGATGATTATGTCCTTCTCCTGAGCAACAAGTTGCAGCGTACCATAACAGGAGTGAGACACAGATAGGTTAGTTAAAAGTGACTTTTGCTCAGAGACACACTGAAAAAACTTATTGGAGGGTCCTATGTACGTGCAAACATTTTCTGTAGGTCATAGATGTTATTTAAAATTATGTTATTACCACAAGAATATAGACAAAAAAATCACATGTAACTAGCTGATCAGAAGAAATACTTTTGGATAGAATTTCTAATTGATAACAATTAGATTTCTAATTGATTTCTAATTTTCTAATTAATAACAATTTCTCAATGTTATTTATCTTCTAGAATTCCAAGGTTTCATTAAAATCCTGTTAACACCGTGTTTATGGCAGAAAATCAGTAGAGCAGTATTATAACAGGCAAGGATAGATCATTGATAATTGATATTGACATTTGATCATTGGTAATTGATATTGGGGGTGATAAGTTTTCTTTGTTATCAGAGTGGAGGCCAAAGTCACACCTTTGAGCAGGTTTCATGATATCAAAGGGTACAGCCACACTGGGATTACTTTCAGTAGAATCAGGCCAAGGATAGAAGTGTGGAGTGAAATAGTGGGCACTGCAGTAGCACTAGCAGAAGGGAAGAAATGCCTGAGCCATGGAATAGCAGGGTCAGGATTGGAACCACGACCCACTCAGGAGCCCCATTAACCTGAACTGGATAAACAGCACGCACATTTCTCACACAAAATCCTAGGTGTGGGATGTTGGTTAAGATCATCTGCATTTCCAGCTTACAGAACTTTATTCAGCACTGGGTTTTCCCTGGGATTTCCAGGTACAGTGTGATTGCTCTCACTGCTCCCTGTCCTGCTGCTCTGCTCTGAAGTGTAGCCTCTCACCACAGACCACAGCTCTCCTTAGAGCCTACAGCCTGCAAAGCCAGACACTGGCTTCTATATGCTGTTTGTACTGGGCAGGAACTAACCTTCATCTTCAGGATCTGCTTCTTGTCAAGGGGTATGGTGATAGAGGTTGTATGACAACTTTTCATATTCTTTAAATAGAAGTCTTGGTCCAGAGAGTACAGTGTTATCTAGAACCAATGAAATATTCAGAGCATTGGGCTTGGGAATAAAAATAGTCATCAATCCACTTTATGTGGTTACATCTAATGCATGTGTAATTGGTTCAAAAGAAGGCTTCAAAAAGTCTGAAAATACAGTTAGGAAATTACCTTTTTAATCTAGCTTTCCCATTTGTTCTAGAATATAATTGGTTCCCAAGCTAGCTTTTTGTTCTCCCACCCTCTTACTTTGCTATGATTTTATTTTCACATCCTTCATATAACTTAAATTGTGGAACACAGACAAGAAAAACAGCAAAGCTGCAGAGGTACCTGTGTCAAGAAACACTTATCTCTAGCATTTCATCAAAGATCATGATGCATACGTGTCTGTTTTTATCTATTTGCACTCTTGTTTCTCCAGTGTCCAAACTGATATACTTTCCTTAACCAGACATAAAAATCATACTTTTCTTTCAGTAAGATCTTATTTTACCTACATCCAACTGACAAATTCATCATCAATTAACACTATGTTTTTATTGTAAAAATACTAAATCACAAAAGAGACAAAACCCTTGATGAAATTCTAAGGAACACACTGAGATTAAATACCAATAGATTACAGGGGCTAGTAATGAGTAAGTTTTGTGAAAGTTGAGAAAGAATTTTAGGAAAATTTTGAGTAATACTCAGGACAATTCAAAACTGCCAAAAGTGAAGACAGGGAGGCATAACAGAACTGTGTTATGTGAATATATCACAAACATGGGCCAGTTCTCTGTGCAGTATCTTTGCGTCCTTACTCTAAATTGCTGTCTACTGCAACACTGACCTTATGTGTGTGTGTGTGTGTGCGTGGGGGGGGGGGTAATGCAGACTGCTAAAACTGACTTACCTAGAAACAAGAACCAGGCCCATTACTAAACCAAATCTTCTGTTATCACCTACAGTGGAAATCTTGGCTCATTGCTTTTGTGTGTTTTGTGGTCCCAAAAATTTTAGAATTCTTTCCATTTAAAAAGAAATCATTTTGGTTCAATTCTGTTTGATCTTCCCAGTTCTCCTCTAAGCTGTTCCAATATTTTGGACATCTGTGGTACACTCAGTGAGAAATTCACATGGAATATCCATGCAGACTTGAGGAAGAAACCAGCATGCTTCCTCAGGCCCAAATAACAGTGGCTAATATCAGGAATATGCACTTTTAAAAATGAACTGAAATAAGGGTCTTTTAAAATCTCCACATTTTTTGACAATCATAGATATTATGAACCTTCTTTCCTCAGTATTTCACATTTTATTTGCTTCATGTTTTCATTAAACACATCAATCAATATTTAACATTGAGTGATAAAGTTTTCATTTTCAAATTGTACTCTTTATCCAGGATTTTCAGTACAACTTCCTTTGAGAAGAGATAAAAAGTGTGGTACTTACAAAATCCTGGTAGAGTTCTAGAGTGAGAACATGGATATAATGAGACACAGTGACTGCATGCTGAAGCAGATGTGGCAGGGTAGTCCGGTGGCCTGTTATGCTAATACATTTAGATGGAGTGGCCACATTCTTCTGCAGAAGCAGGCTTGACATCAACAGCAGCATTAGAAGTGACCCTGGTTAAACCAAGAAAATTAACACTGTAATAATCAATTTTCCATGTTTGCCAAACAGTCCTCACTTGGGAATCTTTGCCTCTTCTGATCTCTGTCCTGATGCTGTACTTCTGGGAGGGTGAAGACTCTAAGGGGCACCTTACACTGTGACATTTATGTGGACATTTGAGCAGAAACAGAATTTGAAAAGAGACACCTCCTGTTTTTTATATTTCTCCCAGGTGTGTCTCTTGCTTTGCAAACTCTGGGAATTTATGTAAATTCTGATGAACAATTTTAAGCCAATTCTTTAAATTGTTTTATCTTATTTTATTTTTTTATTGTTTTGGTACCAGAGATTGAACTCACAACAGTGCATTCCTCATGCAAGTGCTTGAGCCACTGAGCTAAATCCCCAGCCCTTTAAAATGATTTTAATTAATAGGGATTTCTGTACATATTCAGATGTCAGACACTGCAGCATTCTGTAATACTTGAACTCACTCTCTCATATCTGCTTTTTGGACACTGGCTGACAAGTGTGACACAGCATATCTATTTGCTTTATCTTCATGTATTTACGAAAATGTACATGCTTGAGAGTACTGAGCGCAAATAGAATTCTGTCATAGAATGATACCATAGGCCTGTAACTGCTAATTCACCATGATAATTTTAAGCACTTGCTTCACATTTTGCCAGACTTTTGGATGTTTTACTAGATGTCTGCTTCATAAACCCTTTGAAGACACTGAACCTTCATACTTAGCATCGAATTTAACCCACTAACAATAAGGCCTAGTGAACTTGAATGAGTTTTCCAAGTCCTCTCAGTGGTGTGCAGGGGAAGCAGCACACCTGTGCTGTATTTCTTGCTTCATCTTGTCACAGTATCCACACCTGTGTGATCTTAGCCTGCACCGGTGCCAAAGGGGCCATTTCAGAGATCATGGAGGTGAGTGCCATGTTTGTTATCATCTCTTGTGACAAACACCTCTTTTCTAGGGTGTTGAGTGGCAGGGGCCCTATGAAGTTTAATTGTATCTGCTTCTTCTGCTCTATATAACTCTCATATCAGAAACTTTCCCAGAGACCAGAGGCAGGTCTGTCAATGTGGTTTCTTTTTTTAAAGAGATTAAGACAAAACTGGTCATTTTGTTTTTTCAGTAGATGGAAAAATGTAGAACACTGGCATATCAATAATTTTCACCCCCAAAGGGAAAGAGACAACAGGTAGCTACTAAATTAAATATAACTTTTACCTTCAGTAATGCTATTCCAAGATATTTCTTATGTTAAAATATTACATTAGGAGACTGAATTCTGCATAAACTTTGCCAAATTAAGATGAAATTCTATACAATAAATCGAAACAAATATTAAATAATCATATGTGAATAATTCCTAAAATAAATTCTTAAAGAAATATAAATATATTTGTCTTAAAATTGAACTAAATAACAATTGAGTTGTAAAGTTAAAACAACATGCATTCATGCATATTATATAGTTTTAGTTTTCCATACTATAATGTTTTAGTACAGAGTATTACTTATTGCAATGGTTCAAAAATTTAAATTTATTATACTTCTTATGCTAATATAGTGAAGACAGACGCAAATTTTTATATAGTTTTGTAATGAAATAATGCCCTAGAGTTGGAGAAACTGAGATGGAATTGTATGAAGTTCATCTCTGAATAGATGTACCTACTAATTAGCATATATATTTGTCATCAGAGAGTTTTTTAAAATATGCAATAAGCAGAATAATAGATTTCTTCTTTATTTCAAAAGTATTTTATGATTAACTCTAATTTATTTTTCTGACAAGAGAAATATTATTTTTCTGTCACTTACTCAGTAAAGAAAATTACTTAACATTGTGCTGCTTTTTCCTTTTCAAAGATCACTGTGCAAACTGACAAAACCAAGTAAGATACATCACCCCAATTACTGTCTGATTGTGGCTTTAAAAGTGAAAGTATATTAGGTTGACTAATCTCATACAATTCACATAATGAGCATGAGAACCAGAAACTTTAGCTTCTGCCTTTTGCTGTTGTGAAGATTGGACTCAATGACTTGTGGTCCTATTTTAGCCCAGAGTTCACCAATCTTACCATTAATGGCTTTTGAGCTAGATAATTTCTTGTTGTAAGATCCATTCTGTATTGTGAATTGATTGGCAGTCCCCTATCTTCTACTTAATAGACAACAGAACCTCCCTCACTGCTCTACCTGCTCCTGAATTAATGCAAAAGTCTCCAAAAATAGCCAAATATCCAAAGCTAGCATCATTCTACCACTGGAGGACCTCAGAAATATTCTCCTTTGTACTGGGTAGGTGTTTTCCAGGACAACATTGAGATGGTACTTAACCATATAAACCTGGAAACTTTTCATTAGCAACATTTTCACAGTAACCCACCTAGGATGGTGGTGAAGCCAGTACTCAATGTTTGGTGCACATACCTGTCCCCTTGGCATCCATTTTGGTGATCAGGACAAGAAACACACCTTGAGAGGAGTAGGCCTGGCTGTCCCCGGTCCAAGTACCGATGTTGGTCCTTTACCTTTGAAGCATTCACAGATATATTTAATCAGACATTCTCTTCACTATTCCCAGTCTTCTGTGTCCTTCACTGAGATGACTCCATACTTTCAAACATCTAGAATTATTTTATTTCTCTTTCAGTTTCCATTACATATGTGAATAAGGAATGGATTTTGAGTAATTACATTGCATGAAAAAGATAAAGATGATTCAAAAGTAATCTTGAGACCATTTCTTGCAAGAGAATCTAGGATAATTGAAGTCTATTGTATGAACTTTTTATCTCTCAATGTCATAATATATTTAACTTCAGAGTGTTAGCTTTATTTAATATAAATTAGAAATTAAAGTATCAACAAGATACTCAACTTGTTTTGCACGTTAAAAGAAGTGCAAAATTTTGTGAAAACAAAACTTACAGAATGGGAAAAAATTTTGTCAACTCTCCCTCAAAGGATTGAAATTCACAATATATATAAAATTGAAAAAAAAATCAGGCCACCCAAATTCAAAGACTTCAATCAAAAAGGTCATCTAGATGAATGTGCACTTCTCACCTAAAGAAATACAATGGCAAATAAATATATGACAAAATGTTCAACATCACTGGGCATTCGAGAAATGCAAATTTAAACAACATCCCACTCCAGAAAGAATGGGTATCATCAGCTAATCAACCAATAAAAATGCTGGTGGGGCATTGGTGGGAAAGGAACATTTCTCTACCCTTGGGCGGGTTTAGACTGGTGCAACCACTGGAGTAATTGCTTTAGCGATTTCTCAAAAAGAAAAAAAAAAAAACCAAAACTATTAGAATTTTTCTTTGTCTCAGCTATTTTACTTCTGAATAATCCTCCAATATTGAAACTATCACACTACAGTGATATATTTGCAATTTGAAACAGAAATATCTTTGAAAGAACCCAAATGCCTATAGACCACCAAATGAGATAAAAAAAGATGTGATATTTTTATACAGTGGAATATCATTCAACTACAATGAAGGATAAATGAGATTTTTTAAGGTAACTAGATGTTATTTGAGGCCATACTCAGAAGTGAAATAAATCAGACTTGCATATGTAAATATCATTCTGTCTACCTAATGTAAGAATCTAGAGGGGGAGTAGCTAAAGATGAAAGATCAATAAGCAATAGGATACAGAGCCTCCCTGAGAGAGACAACTCAGATGATGTAATAAACATCCTGGTGAGGTCAAGACAGAGAGAGATGAATCCTCTATACCCAGAAGAGCTGCTCAAATATGCAGTCCTGGGGCTACAATTGGAGCAGCCAAGATTACTCCCTTCCCAGAGCAGCTTGGTGGTATTTGCTCAGCCTGGGTCACACTTCTGGCCAGGACCCAATAAGTCATCCCAAACCAATTTGGTACACACAGCACCAACTAACGTGGTGAAGTCCCCAGAAGGTGGGCTGGCCCAGAGAGGAGGGTCCAGCATATGCTATCCCTGCTCACACCTCAATTACAAACATCAAACTGAAGAGGGCTGAAAAGCCTAGCCACTGAACTTCAGAATAACCATAACCAACAAGGAAAGGGGATGGGACTTCCACTATACACCTGTATGGAAGAAACCAAAAATATGACAAGATTAAAAAATAAGAAAAAGCCCTCAGGCCCAAATCCAAAACGGTGAGAATATTGATCTAGGAGAGGTAAATACAAAAGGGATTGAGGGCAGCAAACTTGCAATATGAGACACAGCATCAGCAGACATAAAAAGAGACCTTCAGGACCTCAGAGATGAGCTCAAATCTGAAATATTAATTCAATTACATCAAGATATAAATAGATTAATAAAAGAAATGCTAAGCACCTCTCTAAGAACACACAGACAGAAGAATGGAGAAATACAAAAAAAGGAGAGAAATGTTTGATGAAAAATATAAAGAAAACCTAGAATGCATGAAGCAGACTCAAAGAGATTACCAGAAAATTAAAAACTCCATTGAATGCTGGGAAAACTTCTCAGAAGAAACTAAGAATAGACTATCAAAACTTGAAGACATGTTTGCAATGTGTAATCATGAAAGGAAAGATTTCTTTAAAATAACAATGAAACAGGCAATAATAATACATAGGCTAGAAAACAACAAGAGGAACTATAACTTAAGAATAAAAAACATGAATGAAGAATCAGGAGTAAAAACAAAGGAAATACAAAGGCTATTCACAGAAATAATTAAGAAAAACTTCCCAAGCACAGGAAATTATATTCCTTCCCAAAAGGAAATGATATTCATATGTATGAGGCATACAGAACTCCAGCCACCAACAACCAAAACAGAGCTATAATAATATAATCAAGATCCCAGAAATTCAGTATAAGAACAGAATATTAAAAGCCACAAGAAAAGAAATAGTTTACTTATAAAGGAAAATCCCTAAAAATTATGGCAGTCTTATCGACACAGATCATTAAATCACGAAGAGCTTTGAGTGAAGTATTTCAAGCCCTGAAAGAAAATAGCCTCCATTTCAGATTGAGGTACCCTGAAAAAATGTCCCTAGAAATTAATGCAAAAACAAGATGCTTCCATTGCAAAGAGGAACTGGAGGAATTTGTGACCACCAATCCAACTCTACAGAGAATAACGAAGGATACTCTAGAAAGGAAGAAAAAAAATCAGGAACGATTTCAGGAACGGTGGCCTCAATGAATGGGGTTGACAGTGGAATGAAGGCGAAAAGTAGATAACCAATGACAGAAAGATAGCATAGCAGAAATGAGGCTGAGAAGGTTGGCTGTCTCTAACATAAATGGCCTTGATACACTAAAAATAAAACAGCACAGACAGAATACATAAGGAGGTGGGTCCACCGAGATGCACTGTAATGAAACATAATTAACCTGTATAAAGGTTTATGGACCGAAAATCAAATATGAGAAAACAATGCTCTACATGACAGGGAACCAGAAAGAAATAGGGGCAACTCGACCAGCACCTGCAGATAGGTTGAAAAAAATAAAATAAAATTAAGTACAGTGGAGAACAACTCAGCTATAATGAAGGAGAAGCTTGAGGCTTTTCTAGGTAAAGGGACACAGCCTGAGATCAAGTTCTGGAGTGAGAAGATTTAGAACCACTTAGGTAAATAGAAGGTTGCCCTCCAATATAAAAACTGAGGGAGTTTGTGGTACATAAAATGTGCAGCACCCGGTGGGAGGGAAAGGGGAAGAATAGTCTTTCAAAAGGCAGAGGACATTGTTAGAGTATCAAGATTTAAAACTCACATTGCTCACACTGCTCTGCTTAGATGGATTATATTCTGTTCCAGTTGGTCTACTTGTACTAGAGTTGAGGGCACAGAGAACTATCCGGAAAATAACAGGATATAGTCTTGTAATCATACTTGATTTCCTATTAACTTAATCTGATGACCTGTATAACTGTTTTATCATGACTGATCTTAGTCCAATCTGGTTTGTTACATTGTTGTTTTGTTTTGACTGATTTTACTGAAATCTGTTATGATTGATAGTATCAAATCTGAGGGTATATGCAACTGCACTAAAGATGACAAGGTTCACTAGGATACCCATTCTGGTTTGATTATTACCTGCTTTTGAAGTTTTACACTGTTTACAATGCTTTTCTTTTATTAATATTGTTATGCACTGCTATATTCAATTATTCTATGCATGATTATATAGACAACAAGGTAACAAGAGACAATACAGTAATCATTGCAGATCACCTTGTATTGTGGTTTTATACGACTTTTTCATTTCATATTTTTATAGGTTTTTGTTTTGTTTTGTCTTGCTATGCTTTGTTTTTTCCTCTAATGCAGAAAAGATTGAAATACATGTAGAGACCTATGCATGCATAGAACCTTATAAACAGTTTATGAGAACTGATTATATACTTCATGATGAAATGAACAACTACTTTGAAGAAAAATAGACACTACAGTCCCCAGTGCTGATTCTGTAGCATTATGATGTGAAATCCACTAATACTATTATTCTTTGTTCAGTGTGATTTTAGCCTGTTTTTTTTTTGCATAATTTTGAAATACACGAAGATATTGACAGCTATTTTGAAGAGAATGAGAGACGCTATGACAACCATGTTGATTTCCCTATTGTCTGGTCTTGAAGACCTAAAACACCTTCCTCATCTTGTTCAGACCACTTCTATATTACATTATTTCATGTGAATTATCTGTATGTGAAGATATGGGCAACTATTTGGAATAAAACAAGAGACAATATGACAGATAGTGAAGATCTCTAATTGTCTTGCTTTGAAATTTATGTCTCTTACATTGGTTTTTTATGTTCTGTTTCATTCTGTTTTGCTGTGTTTAATTTTACACTCTTTAAAAGAAAATAAAAGTATTTAAAGAAGGTGCAAAATATACAATAGATATTGTGAAAGTGAAACTGAATGAAGTTACTCAGAAGAAAATAATAACTGGGATTTTGGAAAAGACAAGAGAAAGAAGGTAAAAGATCATGTATATAAATATATATACATAAGATACTTCATTGTACTACTAATCTCTTTTAGTTCATCAAAATGTTGTTTGTTTTTTCATAGTTCTACTGTCTGATCATTGCTTTCATGCCTATATCTGATATTCTGATTACCTACTTTGAAGACAATATGCAATATATTAACCATTGTTACTATCCAATTGTTTTGTTTTGAATTCTGTATCATCATTTGTATTCAATTTAGTTTTAAAATTAAACAAGCAAAAATTAAAAAGTTTTTCATTCAAGATTGCTAATAATGCCAAAATTTCAAAATATATATGCAAAGATGATGAGATATAGAAAAAGTTTTGTAAAATTGTTTTGAGTCTCCACATGTCCACTGAAAAGACTCATTTTCTTTGATTTTACATGCTCTATTTTGTCTACTTCATATGACATATGTGAATGGTGCATCTCTCTCTCTCTAT